AACGGCGTCAACAGCGTCAACGGCGTCAACGCGTCAACAGCATCGACGGCGTCAACGTCGTCAACGGCGTCAGCAAAAAAACACGGCGTCAACGGCTTCAACGGGTTCAGCCAAAACCACGGCTTCAACGGCTTCAACGGCTTCAAGGGCTTTTCAAATTCACGGCTTCAACGGCTTCGACGGCTGCAACCAAAATTACGTATTGCCTCTGGACATCTCTGTTCCCTTTATTTCAAGTTCCGCTTGCCCGCCAAAGTGCCATAGATCCGTGCAAGCGTCTGAATGCGAAAGCTGCCTGCTGCTGTTGCTGCTGCTGCTGGCGGGGGTGGTGGTGCAGTTCCGTTGCCACACTTGCGTCCCTTGTGTATCGCATGGTAGGGACACAATGCAAGCCTTGGCGCCAGGTTCAGTCAAAGCGTGATGCTATGGGATATTCACTCAGCGCTCGAGAGCGAGCATCCCCGGCAGAATTTCAAGATTTGTACATGGTAAGGGCCTACTTGGTGATTTCTGGGATGCAATGTTTGGCAGACTTTCCGGGCTCATGGGCACAGGAGTTGAGGTTTCAATATGTTCCAGACAGCCATGCAAACGCTCCAGGCCTGAGGGCGTAGCAGCATTTCATTCAACGGTCACTTGGATGCAGAGCCCGGGTCCTTCATTGACCTTTCATGAAGGAGAGCCTATAAGAGCCAAGAGTTTTTTTGGGGACTTTCTTTGGACGAGTACTCCTTCCGAAATCGAGCCCTTGCATGGGATGTCTTCGCATCCTGGCTCAAAATTGCAGTCTCGTGGAGCGTGTTGGGGTTCCCACCCTAGGATGGAATGGGGGAAGGAGAGAAACATGGAGGGCAGGAGCAAAGACATGTAGGAAACAGTGCCGCAAAGCGCAGCGAGGCAGCAAATGTGGCAATGTGGAGGACGGAAGACGGGAAGAACCACAAGAGAAGGGAAAACTGAACGAAGGCAGAATTGAAGCAAAAGCAAGAAAGGATAGAAAGGAGGAAAAACGGTGGACAGTACATTTTCAAGGTTAAAGATTTTTTGAAGTAACCTTTCAAAAGCGTAAGTAAAAGCGTGCTGGATAGGTCAAAAAAACAGTTCATAGCAGGGGTCATATTGAATGAGTCACATAGCAACCTGCCAACCAGGGAACCATGGAAATCCCCAAAGCATACTTGAAACAACTTTCCTTGAGACAGGATCCTTGTATGTAGACACTTATGAAAGCAATCGGTTCATAAGAAATCAAGGATATCACCAATTCAAAGCAGAATTCCCTGAAGATTGTTCAAAATGAAACAACAAAAAATTACGGGATCAATAGATTTCCGAGATTTCAATTTCCAATTCTGCGATTTTTCTTCTGCCTTGCTTACTATTTTTGGTAGAACACCTTCTGAGAGCCCAAGCTTCAAGAAATCAAGGAAATGTTGTTTGGTTCCATCAAAATTCCCCGCTCATGTCATTAATTAATGAGGTAATTGCAAGTACGGAAACCAGACGAAACCGTTCATTGTCTGGGCATGCAAAAAATCTCTAATCCCGTAGTCTGTATGCTTCCTTCTGACACCGTGCTTCAGCCTGCACTCTCTCCTTAGTGAGCCCCTTGCAGTCAGCTTGCCCTTGTAAAACTCATCTTCCAGCATGTTCGGCACCAGAAATGTTGTTCGTAAGTAGGGCGTGCTTCAAAAATGGTGGAGCGATGCTCACCAAATAGTGCTGCCCCTACTACAACCATTGTTGTTGCAAAAAACTTGTTATTTGGATCTCCCATATCTACCTGTATTTTTACTTCGGTTATTGGCAGCATTTTCGCAGCATTGCAATGATGACCACTGCTGACCTGACTTGCTCCTAAGATTGTTGCCTGTATTCCTTGGCGCTGATTAGGGTTATTAAGATTGTGCTGCTGTAAGTGTCTTGATGAAGAGTGATGTCACCCTTCTTCTTGCAGTTACCGCTGCGATTACTCTAGCTGCTAGTTGTTTCTTCTCCTTCCTGCCGCTGCTATTGGTGCTATAGCTGCTGCTGCTGCTACTACTACTACTACTACTACTACTACTAGGCATACTTTATGTATTTGACGGCTCTCTTTTGTGTGCTTCTTTGTCTG